TTTTTTTTTTTTAAAGACAGAGCCTCAAGCTATCACCCTAGGTAGAGCGCTGTGGCATCACAGCTCACAGCAACCTCCCACTCCTGGGCTTAAGCGATTCTCTTGCCTCAGCCTCTCAAGTAGCTAGGTCTACAGGCGCACCCCACAAAACCCAGCTATTTTTTGGTTGTAGTTGTCATTGTTGTTTGGCAGGCACCAGCCAGATTCAAACCCACCAGCTCTGGTGTATGTGGTTGGCACCTTACCTGCTTGAGCTACAGGCACTGAGCCATGATCTCTTGATTTCAAGGTCAGGATACCTCCTCTTGAACATCCCTTTGCAGAGATGGCCTAATATTTCTCATGACAAGAGGGGCTTTGCTTCCAGGAAGTCATTTTCTCTGAGAAAGGCCCAGAGCTCCTGTTCAGAGAGCTGGGTTGATCCCATCTGCTTTCCCAGTGCTGCAGGGAGCCACCTCTCCCAGTCCCCTACAGACTTGGCCTGATGGAGAGCTCATTCTCATATCTCTGGATATGTAAACATTGGGTGGAGGGGGACAACAAAAGGAGAGGATTTAGATGGAGGGGCCTGGGGACTCGGAGGCCCAGCTTAGCTAAGAGTCTATTTCCCACTGCCACCAAACCAGGTTAAGGAGGTCAGCATGGCCCACTGTATTGGAGCCACATGGACTAGACTGGGCAGCATTGCCCACTCTTCCCCTTACTAGCTGAATGACCTTGACCTTGGCAAAATAACATCTTTGAGGTTTAACTTGGGCTTCTATAAAGGGCAGCAATGACCCTCACTGTGCTGGGTCTGGGAGCATTTAAATGAGAAACTGTGCATGACAGGCAGAAACCGAGGGTCTTGTGGTTGCCAGATCTAAATACTTGGGCTTGATGGTTGTAATTCCCAGCTTTCCTCTGGGTGGTTGATGTTGGCCTCACCCTCCCTTCTCCCTCCATCTGGAATTGGGCGGGTACATCTGGCTCTGAGTGAGGCAGCTGTCAGGGACGCCCCATTTGGTTTGCTGCAGAAACACTCAGGCTGTCCTGGCACTCCTGTTAGAAGGGGTGGGGGTGAGGGGTGCAGGAGTACCTGGCTTGGACTCTGGGAAAATTCCACCAGTCAGTCCCACTCTCCATGAGTAAAAGGGAAGAAAAAGCCATGAATGATGCTAGGGGTTCTTACCTGACAAGAGACAGACTGGATGTTTGTCAGCATGCCCCCAGCCTGGCATAGTGGACACAGGCTGAATGAGTGATGGGGTTCCAAGACCTTGGGGAGCCCATGCTTCCCCACCCTCCCCCTAGCTCCTTCCAGGCTTAACTGGAATTCCACCACCATGGAGTCACCCTTTGTTTACTGTTAAGCTGCAGGTGCTCTGGGAGGATAAGATGTCCGGTCTCTGTGGCTCAGCTGACTGACCTGCGGTGTCCGGTCCTGGGGTGGGGCTTCCTGAGCAAGGGCCTGGGCTGGGATGGGGGGAGGCAGTGGGATTCTGCTGCTGCTGCATCCTCCTTCCTCCTTCCTGTGCCCTCTCATCAGCCCCCATGTTCTCACCCTCCTCCCCAGGATGAAGAATGGGGCAGAGGAAGGCAGTAGCCTTCTTTGCTTAGCCCCTCGCCAGCCTGGGGAGGACAGTGGGTTCACCTGGCTTGAGTCTTGGCCCTGCTCTTAATCAATGAGTGACCTCGGAGCAGTTTGTTTCTTTCTTTTGTTTAGTTTTTTTTCTATTTATTTTTTGAGACAGCATCTCAAGCTGTCACCCTGGGTAGAGTGCCGTTGCATCACAGCTCACAGCAACCTCAAACTCTCAGGCTTAAGCAATTCTCTGATCTTAGCCTCTCAAGTAGCTGGGACTACAGGTGCCTGCCACAACACCCAGCTATTTTTTGGTTGTAGTTGTCATTGTTGTTTGGCAGGCCAGGGCTGGATTCCAACCCACCAGCTCCAGTGTATGTAGCTGGCACCCTAGCTACTTTCTTTTTTAATTAGTTAATTAATCAATTAATTTGTTTTTGAGACAGAGTTTCAAGCTGTTGCCCTGGGTAGAGTGCCGTGGCATCACAGCTCACAGCAACCTCAAACTCTTGGGCATAAGCGATTCTCTTGCCTCAGCCTCCTGAGTAGCTAGGACTACAGGCACCCGCCACAATGCCCAGCTATTTTTTGTCGCAGTTTGGCTGGGGCTGAGTTCAAACCTGCCACCCTCCGTATATGGGGCCAGTGCCCTAGCCACTGAGCCACAGGCACTGCCCTCATTTTTATTTTAATTAAAAGCAAACTTTTAATTTTTTTAGAAACAAGATCTTCTGTCACCCAGGCTGGAGTGCAGTGACCCAAGCTTAGTTCATTGTAACCTCAAACTCTGGGGCTCAAGCAATCCTTCTGCCTCCCAAGTAGCTGGGGCTACAGGTGCACGGATGACACTACGCCCAGCTAATTTATAAATGTTTTGTACAAACAAGGTCTCGCTATTGCCCAGGCTGCTCTCAAACTCCTGGGCTCAAGCAGTCTTCCTGCCTCAGCCTTCCAGAGTGCAGGCAGGAGCCACCGCACAAGCCTTACCATTTATGCTGATTCTACATCCATCTGGGTTCACATGGATGTGCCACCCCAACCTGCTCCATTTCCTTATTTTTTCAAATGAGGATGACAACTCTTCGTAGCATATTTTTCTTTTCTTTATTTTATTTTTTAATATTTTTTCTGAGACAGAGCCTCAAGCTGTCACCCTGGGTAGAGTGCCGTGGCATCACAGCTCACAGCAACCTCCAAATCCTGGGCTCAAGCGAGTCTCCTGCCTCTGCCTCCCAAGTAGTTGGGACTACAGGCGCCTGCCACAACGCCCGGCTATTTTTTGGTTGCAGCCGGCTTTGTTGATTGGCGGGCCCAGGCTGGATTCGAACCTGCCAGCTCAGGTGTATGTGGCTAACGCCTTAGCTGCTTGAGCCACAGGCGCCGAGCCCATAGCATATTTTTCTACATTAAAAATACCTTTTTCCCCCCTACTACATAAATACATGCATAATAATAAATACATGCTTATTACTAAGAATTCAAGTTTATAAAAGCCTGAACAAGAAAGGAAACATCAACCTGCAATTCTACCACTTTGAAATAACCATCATTAACATTTGGGCTACTGGCTTGGCGCCTGTGGCTCAAGTGGCTAAGGCGCCAGCCACATACATCTAAGGTGGCGGGTTCGAATCCAGCCCAGGCCCCCCAAACAACAATGATGGCTGCAACCAAAAAATGGCCAGGCATTGTGGCGGGCGCCTGTGCTCCTAGCTACTTGGGAGGCTGAGGCAGGAGACTCGCTTGAGCCCAGGAGTTGGAGGTTGCTGTGAGCTGTGATGCCACGGCACTCTACCCAGGAGGACAGTTTGAGGCTCTGTCTCAAAAAAAACCCCAAAAAACAAAACATTTGGGCTACTATCCTGTCCTACTTACATACATCATACACATTTATCACGTGATAGTAATGGGACCAAATATTGCAAATGTAAATCTTTTTTTTTTTTTTTGAGACAGAGTCTCACTTTGCTACCCTTGGTAGAGTGCCAAGGCATCATAGCTCACAGCAACCTTAAACTCTTGGGCTCAAGTGATCCTCTTGCCTCAGCCTCCTGAGTCACTGGGACTACAGGTGCCCCTCACAATGCTCCCCTATTTTTAGAGACAGGAGGGTCTCACTCTTGCTCAGGCTGGTCTCAAACTTCTGTACTCAAGCAATCCACCCACCTCCACCTCCCAGAGTGCTGTGATTACAGGTATGAGCCACAGTTCCTGGCCCACAAATCATTTTTACTGAGGATGTCTTTACTCCCCTGTCAATGATCCCACATCCCATCCTTGCCCTGCACCCATATGACTTCCAGATTTCTTCTGTCTTTATATAGGATAGAATCCTCCACAGGCACATGTGCGTATGTATGTATGTAGGTACATATGCACCTATTGGCGGGGAAGGAAAGGTAGGCAATGCTTTCAATAAATGGCATTGTTTATGCTACCCTTTTGCATTTTGCTTCTTTCTCTCTGTAATGTCTTGTGGGAGTCCCCCCAAAATGTCTAATACCTCTAATTCTGAAATGTGTTTGCAAAGAACTCAGAAGAATGCCATGGACAGAGCAGAGACCCCCCAAAATATCTGTACTCCTCACTCCACCTTCTTTAGGTGAGGGAGGAGGGCCTGAAAGTGTATTACAGCAGAGCCCCCTCTCCCCCGCCAAATATCTGTACTCCTCACTCCATCTTCTTTAAGTGAGGGAGGAGGGCCCGAAAGTATATTAGAGGAAGCTTCTGCCCAAAAGGGGCTCCTAACCTGGAGGAGGAGAAAAGGGAAACTGAAGTGACCTCACCTCCAGGAGGGATGTGATTGGCCCAGATGGGAGGTGTCAGCCATTTAGCACACCCTTGTCTGAACACCTGCTGTGTCTAGCCCTATGTCCGGCCTGGGCAGGGAGGGACAGAGGTTACAAGCTCTCTGTCCTTTGTTGAGCAGAGAGTTGTAAAACCCCTGCACAATTTGTCACTTACCAAATCAAGGGGCACAATTGATGGCAATGGTGGGCAGGATAGGGAGTGAGGGGGTGATGAGCTCCATCTTTCCTGGGACCTAGGGAAAGAGGACAGAGCAGGGCTCTGAATATGACTTTGGGCTTGTTACTCAGGTTCCCAGACCTCAGTTTCCCCACATGTAAAGGGAGGGGCTTGGTGCCAGGGATCTGGTCTCTAAGATACAGTGGGTCCATAAGTGAAGACATGCTTCTTACAGCAGTGCTTCCCGCAAAGGAGAGGCATCCCCCCTGGGCTCCCAGGGTTGATGCAGGGGTCCCAGAGATGAGACAGATGCTTTTTTTTCTTTGAGACAGAGCCTCAATCTGTCCCCCTGGGTAGAGTGCTGTGGCATCACAGCTCACAGCAACCTCCAATTCCTGGGCTCAAGTGAGTCTCCTGCCTCAGCCTCCCTCAGCTGGGACCACAGGCGCCCACCACAATGCCCGGCTATTTTTTGGTTGCAGCGTCATTGTTGTTTGGCAGGCTGGGCTGGATTGGAACCCGCCACCTTAGGTGTATGTGGCTGGCGCCTTAGCCACCATAGGCATGGAGCCGAGACAGATGCTTTTGACTTTGTCCTCCAGTTCCTGACTTGTGTGTACCCTTTGTGTTTCAGGTCTTCAGCTCCAGACCAGAGAGAAATTCTTGGAGACAAGATCAAAATACATTGCCACCTATAAAACACCCCCTCTTCTGTGGGGAGAAAGTAATTTTTTTATCTCAACCCTCTGAAGTCATTGATCTTTAGTCTTTGTTTTCTCAATTTCTTGAGCTCACTTTGGTCACACCCACACTCCAGTCTGAGTACTTTGGCAAGTTTTTGGTGTCTGGAAGCCACTGTTTGGAGTGAGAATTTCTGGTTGAAGGTTTTCAGAGAAGGCTGTGATCTCAGCAGGTGACCGGTCTCTGCCCTCTCAGCCAGGTCTGGGTAGTGAGGTCACCATGTCCACCAAGGTGCCCATCTATCTGAAGCGTGGCAGCCGCAAGGGCAAGAAGGAGAAGCTTCGTGACCTGCTGTCCTCAGATATGATCAGCCCGCCGCTGGGGGACTTCCGCCACACCATTCACATCGGCAGTGGTGGTGGCAGCGACATGTTCGGTGACATCTCCTTCCTGCAGGGCAAGTTCCACCTCCTGCCTGGGACAGTAGTCGAGGGGCCTGAGGAGGATGGCACCTTCGACCTGCCCTTCCAGTTCACACGCACTGCCACCATGTGTGGGCGGGAGCTCCCCGATGGCCCATCCCCTCTACTTAAGAACGCCATCTCCCTGCCGGTCATTGGGGGGCCCCAGGCCCTCACCCTGCCCACAGCCCAGGCTCCCCCCAAGCCCCCTCGCCTGCACCTGGAGACCCCTCAGGCCTCCCCACATCCTTCCCCGCAAGAGGCTGGGAGCATGGACATCTGGAGGATTCCAGAGACTGGCTCACACCACAATGGGCTGACCCCAGAGACAGATGCTAAGGATCCCTTCTTGTCTCATGCCAGCTCCCTACTGTCCCTGCACGTGGACCTGGGGCCTTCCATCCTGGATGATGTCCTCCAGATCATGGATCAGGACCTGGACCGCGTGCAGATCCCCACATAGGGTTTGCCCTGACCCACTCGGTGCCCAGGCTGGGTTGATGTTAGGGAGGCACGTTGTAGACACGGCCCTGGCCTAGGAGTCAGGATCCCTAGGTTCCACCTGTGTGGTCACTGGCCAGTATTGTTGTTTTGAGCCTTTGCTTTCCTCCCTCCCATCTTCACCCCAATGAACAGAATGTGCCTCATTGTTGTCTCCTAACAACCCCCAAGGATACATGTGGAAGTCAGCCCAGAGTGCCCTGGGCATCTTGGACCACCTGAAGGCCCCCCACTGACTGCTTCCCTCGGGTCCCTCGGATGAAGGCTCTGCTGAGATGGACTTCCCTTTTCCCTCCCTTCTGCCTCAGCCCCATTCAGTACCCTGATTGGGGGCCACGGAAGAAGCAGGGCACAGCCAGCAGAGGCTGGGGCAGTGGGTAGGCTGTTCCAGACTTTTGGCTTTGTCCTGGACTGGGAGTATGGTGTCAGTGACCAGATGTGTCACACCTTGTCCACTGATCCATCCCTTCCCTACATGGCCAGGGATTCTGGTTGCAATAAAACATGCTGCTGCTGGTGGCCAATCTCCCTATACCCTGTCCCAGATTTCCTCCCAAAGGCAGTCCAGTCTTTGTGAGCTGTGGGCTCACTGAGGGGAGACCCCAGCCCCACAGGACTTTGCAGAGGACAGGCCCTCCACTTGGGAAGATTGTACCTCATCAGTCAATGTGGATGTTCCGACATTGGTTCAGCTGTTTGGCAAAAGCTGGCTGGGCACTGTGCCAGGCCTGGGGCTGAGCTCTGCCCAGGCATCTAGGGTCTGTCAGGGGAGACTCAAGAGTAAGAGAATAACTACAAGGACAGGTGCAAGGGACCAACAGCTTCACAACACTTCTCCAGCTTCAGAGCACTGAGGGAATAGATGGGACAGAGGGCTGGCCCAGGGCTGGAAGGGATCAATGCTTATCAGAGTACTCAGCCCATTGGGTGCTGTTTATTGAGCAATTACAGTGTACTTGACATGGCTCTAGGTGCTGGGATAGAGGCAGGTATGATCTCTGTTCTTTTTTTTTTTTGAGATGGAGCCTCAAGCTATCCCCCTAGGTAGAGTGCCATGGCATCACGCTCACAGCAACCTCCAACTCCTGGGCTCAAGCGAGTCTCCTGCCT